TATACCTTATATTATCGCAAAAAAATATTTTTTTCCATATAACTTTGCAGTAAACAAAAAAGAAATTGCTCTCAGTCCTTACTAAAAATGCTCGAACTATCAGGAGAAATTCAGAACTTTGAACAATAGGCCTATGTAAAGAAGTTTTTCTCTGGTTGGTCTTATTAAAGATACGGCAAAGATCAAAACCAATCAGGCCCTTCCTAACCAAAGTGTCTAGATGCTTTCTTCTTTTAGCGAATTTACCATATAGGGAATAAGCTATTACCGAAGATGGCATAGTAAGTCCTAGACCCAGGACCAATTTACTTTTTGTTGCGATATCCCAAGAGGCCAAAAACATCATCCGTTAACAATTTTAAAATTTGTATACTTATGTGTCAGTGAACCTATAGAAACAATTTTGGTCCAATTTTCAACAAAATTTGGCATAAAGACGTGAGGCTGGTTAAACTTAATGAACCAACAATATCGGGTAATGGGAACAAAGTGTTTTGTAACTTTTCAAAAATTAGTTTTTCAAAATTTGACTCTAAAAACATGAATAACAAGTTATATTTCTTTTGAAGCTCTCAACAAAATAATTTAGAAAGAAATTCCAAAATGTTGTGTTGTGGAGGTTAAAATGGGAAAAACTAATTCCACAGTGGCAAACCTGCAGACTAGGGAATTTCCATTTAAACCTGGTTATATTTTCAAAAAGATTTTTTTTAATTAGTCGGATCCATTTCCTATTTAATTAAAATTGATTTTAATGAGTACTTAGATTTTCTGCTACAGTGAAGGTAATAAAGCGTGTTTTAATGAAGATAACTTAGTATGAAATGCACAATTTTGCCAAATTTGACCAAAATATATACCCAAACAAGCAAACTCTCTAAAATAATTCTAATATACAAGTTATTTTTTTAAGCTCTTAACAAAATAATTTAGAAAGAAACTAAACAATGCTGTGTTGTGGAGGTTAAAATGGGAAAAACCAATTTTTATCCAATAAAACCCCTTTCATATAATTTGATCTTGCTGGATCGCGATCTCGTTTGAATAGCTAGATTTAAACGTTTTGGAACAAGTGTCATGAAAATTGGATGAATTTTACTCTATCATATGTATTTGAACAGATGATTTTTTGCCTCTGGGAACATCAAAACAAAAACAAAAATATACAGGGTGGCTGTATTGAGAGTAAGTATTGAGATTTAAGTATTTAAGTATTGAGAAAAGGAGAAAAATTGCCTCACGATATGAAGTGTAGCAGATTGTTCAGGTCCAGAGGTGGTAGAGAGTACAGAATGGAAAAAATACCTTAATGCAAGAACAATAAAAAAAATCATAATAAACTGTTTGAAAGTGGCAATGTGAATAGTGAAAATATTGTTCAATGTAATATTCCTCGATAAATGGATTTGTTGAGGTAGTCCAGACCTTATGATTTCTTTTTGTGGGGATGGGTAAAAGAAGAGGTTTACAGAAGGAATCCAAAGACTCTACATGAATTGGAATTTTCCATTTTAGATGTTCTTGGTAATTTTCCACTAGAATTTATTCAAAAATCTGTTAGAAATTTATATGTTGGATTAAGAAAATGTGTTGACAATGCAGGTGCATAACGTGTTCTATAATAAATGGCATTGATCAATATTTGAATGTACAAGTTTATTTGTTCTCTAGCACCATAAAAAGTCATGGCAATTATTAATTACAAATAGGTAGTTAATTGCCGTTGTGTAGATGAGTCTGGGTTCAAGACGAAGGTAACACACCCATTTTCATCATAATAATAATTTCAACTACCCTGTATAAGTTTAATGTTTTATAGCCTTAGATTATTAAAAGCAAAATTTATATCAAGGTTAAAAACATGTAATTATAGACCTGGCATCATTTAAGGGATGTGAGTAACTCCATAAACCAGTCCAATTAGAAACTAAAAGCATCATTAGTCCAGTGACTAATGCCAAGAAAAACCAGATGGAAACCTACGGAGCCAATTCTCTGAAGAAACTTGATCATATGTCTTCTTACGTAGGAGTTTAATCCAACAGGACACAAAAATTGTTTTCGTCATACTGCAGCAAAAACAGCCGTTTTTAATGCATGTGTTGCGGGTCTAAAGTAGCATTTTTATTCTCTAGGGAGTAAAAATCATTTTGAGTCTCTAGGGAGTAAAAATCAGCTGTTGTAAACCGTTGTAAATTTAGATTGTGGTAATCGTATCGATCGAAATTATTTATCGATCGATTTATTAGGTAAGGTGTTAGCCTATTGTTGTCGACCGCTCGACATATCGATGGTATAATGTAATAGACAATCGTAATAGACGAAATTATTGAATCACTTACTAAACAGCTTCTTATTTGCATTAGAAGAGTTGAAAACAAGCTGGAAGCTGGAAGTCGTTTTGAGAGGTTATCTTTACATATAAATTATTTAGTTTTCTAGCTTAGTTTGTTAATTAGCTATGCAATATGACGAAAAATATAGTTCACCACATGGGCAAAAAGTGTCTTTTTAACCCTCGCTCATTTTCCAAAAACTTAACATCGGGTCAAAAAGAGTCATTTTAGGCCCTAGTGACGAAATATACTGTTACAATTATTATGTTGGTAAGTAAATCAGAAATCTTCATCTTACATCGAACACCTGTTTCCTTAAACAGCTATCTCACAATAGAGGCAATTTTTTTTTCTAGGTAAGAATAAACAGTTAAGTTAAATTACTTGTGATGTTATTTGTATGGAAAATGAAACAAATCACATAATTTCCACTGCAGAAGTCTTATTGACTTGATAAAGTTAAAATACCATGAAAATCCATCACATAACCATTAGGAAATTAACAATAAGGAGTGCAAATACTTCTTGCGAGTAGTTTGATTCTAGCATTATGTGTTCTGAAACACATAATGTTCAGACTATTCTATAAAATCAACCTAAATAAGTTATTTATGTACCGGTAGTTCATCTTCACACTACAATTAACTGTGAAAATAAATCCAGAGGAACGTACTTGCTTTATATATTAGATCATAAACAAGAGTTTTTTTAGATAACTGGATGCTCAAAAGTACTTGACTTATGCTATATTTAGTTATTCGAAAATTAGCTATGAATAACTGACTATAGAAGTGAAATCAAACAATTGGAGGTAAGTTAAATATAGATACAGGTTGAATAAAAATTAATGTAATATGAAATTAACAATGTATTGAAACAGCTCAACAACAGTAAATTACAATCACTTACCACAAAAATCACATGTTTGTTAAGGCTAAGTCTTGATAGTTTAACAACAACATTATATAATAAAACAAAGTGTATGTAATATCATTGACTATTGGATACAGAAGTTGTATTGATAGTCCTGGACAAAAATTTGATCTAATTAAATATCCTTTGAATAATTTAATTTAAATTTGTATAGTACCTTAAATATTATTATGAATATTGTCAAACCATTGAAATCAACTTTTTAACCATTATTAGTGGTACTTTAAATAATGAAATATATGTATGATTTATCCTAATCTAGACATTTATTGATTTCCTACAAGATTAATCCAACATTTAATCATGTAAATAGAAAATGATTTGAAACATCAGATGGAACTCAATTAAAAAATTAAGTTCCCTACTCAAAAAATTAACATATAAACATAAAAATAACATTTAACTAATATACATTAGACTAAACAAGTTCAGGCACTCTCAACTCCTTGCTTAGCGAACAAACACTTGAACAATGAAAACAACTAAACCTAGACAAATATACCTAGAGGAACTATACGGTAAATGTTTTAACAATTACTTGAGCTAAAATTTTTTGTTTCTGTTAACTCTAAACCAAATACTCTATGAAATGCCACTATAATCGCTGTAACTATGCATTTTAGAACATTGTTCTACAACAAAACCACAAAATGTTATTTTACACTAAAATATTGTTTACGTGTTTTTCAAGACCATTTGAACAAAATGAATTTGTTTGTTCTACTTATCGCTATTATTCCTATTTAATTATCGTTGATAGGAAAATATACACAAACTTTCTATGTATACAGTAGTTTGTAAAAGTGTGCAAATCAATCAATATAATTTATATTTATACGGTTGTTGCACTGGTGTTTAAGAATAGGAGAATGCTGTTTGATCAAAGAAAGGCAGAACACAAAAGGAAAGCTCAGAGAGAGGAGTCTATGGAATGTAAAATTACTCAGAAATTTCATTCGGTGAGTAATCGGGGGATAGTAAATAGTTACAGCAGAAAGGTATGGTTGGGTTAAGTTAATGGACTAATATTTGAACTAGCAAAGTTTTACAGTACCTATTGTATTATAAGATCTGTATTTATAATTTACATACACCGTTTATCAATTACTTATGTTCAGTTTAGAATTTTTGTTGAGTTAGCCAGCTTACATGAATGGGAAGAGTCCCAGTCCATCCTAGCATAAGATTCACAAACATTTTCAATTATACGTGACATCTACAATATTATATTATCACTTTAAGAGTATTTTCAAACATAGAAGGTTTTGGTCAAGATGGAAGATATTTTTCAAAAGATATTTCCTCCGAACGCAAATCTTCCTTTGTTGATAAATGCTGTCATAGTGATGGTGAAATATTTTAAATTTTAATTGTGATTCAAAATTCTAGTAAAAGCAGACATTATTGTCGGCTATTAAAATCACAAAATGTCAGTGAAATACACTGAATACACCCAGTTACTGTGCAAAGCCTGCAAAAAATCAACAAAATACAACTTGCTAAATTAATTACAGGTATTGAAACATAACCTTCTAAATCACTAAATCACTTTTCTCATTATAAAGCAGAATAAACCAGTTGCGCTAAGCCACTTTGACTTATAATCTCTAGAACTCAAAACTAAGTTACAGCTAATGAATGGCCTAAATCGCTAGTTCGTTAACGTTCATGCTCCAAAACCCTACGCTAGCCTTGAGATCACAGTTTAATGAGATATCTCTCTAGTCTTACTTGGCAGTACTGAGATTTCCTCCGACAGTGTCGAGGACTATAACCTGTTCACCTCTGTGAAGCGACAAAGAGTCTAAGTCACTGGACAAGTAATCTTGGTTCGCGGAAAAGATAACGTCGCCACCCTCCTGAAACAAAAGAAGATCAAGGTTAGAAAATCACTTTATTTTGAGAGTACTGTATCAGAATTTATCCATGTATTTTGTGTTAAGAATGAATGCAGGGTGAGTGTAGAATCATTGCCTATTGATTGATCAATTACCATGTTAAAGCCGTGCAGTTGGTCTTAGAGTACAAATTAACGTAAAGTTGTTGAAATGAGCACATCATTTGCTGACTCATAAGTTTCAGATGAATACACCAACTTTGTAACAAAGCCAAACTGAAAGGAAGGTCTTTGGTTCGATCCTGAGACAATAGTAGCTTTTTGATGGTTCGAAACTGGAACCACCCAGACAGCACACTTTATCCCAGGGACATCCCATAGTAGTCCCATATGTCCTGAGAATGTCTCGGGATATGTGCGCTATCCTCAGGATATCCCGCAAAATCCCGGGACGAGTACGAAATCCACAGGATATCCTACAATATACCGTAATGTCCCGGGATTTGTAAGTTAACCTCAGGATATCCTGTAAAGTCCCGGGATATGTACGAATGGCATAGGATATCCCAGAATGTCCCATGACATCCCGGGACATGTACAAAATCCACTGGATATCCTGTAATGTCCCGTAATGTCCCGGTAACAAACTGAAGAAAAAAAATACTACCACTGATGAAATGTACAGTATATCTAAATTTAAATGTTCAACAAGGCCAATATATAATAATTTGTTTTTTTCACTAGTGCTTTCAGAAACTTGGTTTCCATCTTCAGGCTGTGTTTACACTAGTACAAAAAGTAAATATTTACTTAATAAATTAATTTTAAACAAAGTTAAAACAGATTTAAAGGATATTGGAAAAATAAAAAATAATATTAGAAAAATTAATCTTTTGAATTTTGGATATGTGTTGTTCTTGATGTAATTATTTTCAGTAATTCCGAATTTATAATTGGGCCGTCTTCATTATTTAACAAATAATTTTGGTCTGTTTTTTTTTCTAAAAATAAGATTCCCACGCATTAAGATGTTGAGGTTTTATAATTTATTTTAAAAGTTTAAGGTTTCCCAGATTGAAAATATGTCTTGTTAATACTATGGCTAGCAAGGGTTGACTTTACTTTACTGACATATAACTACCACTGAGTTCAGGAAAACTAGAGTTCTATCATAGTTGTGTGAAATGTGAATTTAATTCTAACTTTAAATTAATAAAACAACAAAAAACTAATTTTAATCATATAACAATCAATTATTACAGTGCTAATCTAATGGTGATTAAATAATCTATATTCAAATACCAGTATCCTCTCCAACTACCAGAAAAACAATTCAACTACTTGAGGTCTAAACAGATTAACAGAATCATATATAGCCTATACTGTAGTATCAAAAATATTTTAAGTATTGCGACCATTGCAACTGTCGGCTACTCTTTAACCACTTGAAAACACCCATAATCAACAAGCGCAGATAGCTCAGGAGGTAAGGTAAGGGGCTCACAAGGCGAAGGTAACAGGTTCGAAACCCGTCTGGGCCAAAAACTTTTTTCTTGTTTTTTTCTTCAAAATTTGTGTTTATTAACTATTTAATCAATTTACTAAACTTATAATTAAGCTTTTCATACTAAATCTATATTATTTTGTGTTTTTTATGTTCAGGCCCAGACCACACTTTATCCCAGGGACATCCCATAGTAGTCCCATATGTCCTGAGAATGTCCTGAGGACTACCCTGGGATGACCTCGGATGTCCCACGGATATGCGTGTGAGCTTATCCGTAGGACATCCCCGGGCGGGGGCATTAGGCATTCCTGTGGATATCCTGTGATATCCCAAGTTGACCATAGGACCACTATGGGATATCTTGCATATCCTGTCGCAATATCCGTGGGATGTCCTGAGGAGAAAGTGTGCTGTCTGGGCAGCTGTCCTTGATCATTGGGATTTTATTAAAATGGTCCTGACTAATGAAACAGCTGATCTTAGTCAGTAACAAAGCTACACAAGGCATCCCACTCTATTCTACACTCATCCCTCACTCATATTTGGGAAAATACACACCTAGGTGGTGTTATCATTCAACTGGTAATAATTCAACTATAATTCATACTTCAACCATCTTCTATTTGGATATGAATCTTACTGTATCTATTCCATGTACTGGTAGATGGGATGTTAACTTCATCATAGAAGCGATAGCAAAATATTTCTAGAAATCAACAAATAAAAAAAAAACTTCCATAAATATTTCACAGATTTCTTTTACAGGATAAAAATGAATTTTTCCACCATTCGCATATTTCCTAAGTAGAAATACAAAAGTGTTCTCAATTTACTAATTTCTTACTCAATTCATTAAAATGACCATTCATCGTGGGTAACCCCAAAACCTAGATCTTACAGACGATTTAACTTGTAGTAAATGTTCGCAAGGTCCACTGAGAATGAAACACAACCAAAAAAGTGAGCTGACTCATCCCTCAATGTTATTAAACACCTCATGCCGCAGCCAACTTCGGGCTGGATGTACCCCAACATTGGTTTTGGCATTTTCTTTTCATCTCTTGGCAAAGTTACATTTGCCTCGCTTTTAAACAATCAGCAATAAGCCATCCGTCCAGCAAACAACGCTGGAGATCCTGCATTTGATTGGACCTCACAAGATTAAATTTGGTGGTCGTGATTTGTTGTGGTTTATAAATACTTCGTTAAAAACATATGCTGGAAGCAAAAGAAGAGACGTATTGTATGAAATATAAGTAGCATTCTTATGGGTATCAACAATCCAACACATACTTTCTCCCCTTTGGCTTTCCAACAACCCTTATCAAGGGTAAGCGGAGGGAGTAACTATGATATTTTATGGGGAAAATCACAAAAGTTACAATAACTTTCGAACCGTAATTTTAATATCAATGGGGTTTGTACCATTTTGTTTAGAGTCAAGAGGACATTAACATATTAAATTGTATTCAAAATCACTTGAGCCATTTCTTTTTTAATCGAATATTTCTGATTATTTATATCTTTTTTTATAGGAGTGGTCTGTGGTTCTGTCATGCACATTCCTACACACATATACACAGTTATCACTTCGAAAAGCACTATTTTGGGTTCAGGGATTTATGGTATCCACCCGAAACTCAAAACTAAAAAAATGTTGACAAAAATAATACTTTTCCAAATACTATGTACTGCCACAGAAAACATACTATAGTTCGGCCGCTTAGAAAACGACCTGCGCGCTAATGCTAAGCCAATGCTGGAGGAGGTCGCTTTCTAAGCGGCCGAACTATAGTAGTATGTTTTCTGTGGTACTGCAGAGGGGGTCTTGATTAGAGTAAGTCCTCTTTGCTTATCCCTTTTATCTTATAGGCGGATCTACAGTGTAAGATGGGCCCAGAAACCAATAGGTTGAGATTATCTCATAACTAAATTTTTGCTTGATATTACATGAAAGTTTTCAATTTATATTCCCTCTGATGAGCTATTCTGGGCATGAATGACTTTTCCAAAGATTCAGGTAGGTAATTTATTATTCCTCAACATTTTAATAGACATATTACTTATTAAATAAGCTATGTCCACACTCATGAGCTTTCAATTTCAATGTGCCTTTCAACTTTCAATGCTTCATTCAATTCAACATACATCAACTTATGCGTTATTGCAAGGTCGCATTAGGTATATAGTGTGGCCTTGGTTATTGCATGCCTTTTGAGGCAGCCTTTCAGCTGTCCACACTAATGTATGCCTTTTTTAGATGCCTTTTTATTTAGATAGACAAAGACGACGCAATTCTATTAGTAGGAATTAAGGCGGCATATTTAGTGTTAAGAAAAGCTCAAAAACGTACAAAAAAATCAAGGCTTACAAGTTGGATGAAGAAATATTATAAAACTCATAATTTTCTTATTTTAAAAGATTTAGAAGGTGACAAAAATTTGATACTCTAGAGAATCAATAACAGCAGATGTAAAGGTTTGTGTTACTTGCGTCAAGAGCCATGCACTTGGCGCACATAAAAGCGCATGAGCACAGACTATAGAGTAAACGTTAATTAATTACTCTAAGTAAACATAATTTCTATAGTCCGTGGCATGAGTATGGACAATCCTATAGAAATATGCCTACAGCCAATTTTTTAAACCTAGAATATTCCACCAGCAGATTGAATGTTACGAGAACAAAATGCATGATATATTTTTGAGATATCAAACTTTATTTTTCTGTGAGCTATATGTTGAGTTTTCTATTGTCAGCTACTCTCATATTGACAATTTCTCGTCCTCTAGTCTGCAGTTGTTTATATTTATAAATACTTTTCAGAACACCTGTCAAAACGTGCTGCCAAGCTGTAAACAGATCTTCATCTGCTCAGCCAGTTCAGCCAGAACAGGCAGAAAAATATCACAAATCCCGACATATAATTAGGACTTTTTTCAACTGATGTAGTCACTTTTTCCAAGGAGATTCCTTTCATTTGACCTAATATTTAAACAATTTTTTTAACCATTTGAACCTAACAAGAAATCTATAAGATTGGTCAACATAATGCCCAATGTACTAAATGAAGTAATACTTCAAATCAACTTTGGAGAAAGATAATACATCAATATTATTTGTTTCTATACAATTTAACTTTGTAAATAATAAGACGGGTACTGATGTTGATGAACAGTAAGTGAAGTATTTTGTTCATTGACTGTAATGTAAAATGACTTGGTAAGTCACTTGCTATGATGTTTGATATGATATCATACTATGGCATTTCTTAAGAAATACGTAAACAAATTATTCAATTTATTTTAACTCAAACAGCTGGTACCTAACAAAAACAAAAACCTTTATAATTTAAATTTGTAATACATATGTGCTTATTAAGTACGCAGTGATGTTTTATTGTAACTTGTTTATATTTTCTGTTAGGTGCAATGTTTAAGTATAACATGTTACATCATGCATGGAAGATAAGTTATTTTTCCATTGTTAAATCGTTGACCAATCAGAAGCATCAAATAGGAAACTTTTTGCAAACAAAAAACGTTATGTTGTAGTTGTAAGAGCAAAGTTAACTAACCAACATGAGACATTTCTTTCAAATGTTGAACGCTTCCAAACCAGGTACAGCCAGACCAATAATTAGTCATCAGGGCATGTCTTCCTGACAAACAACTGGCACTGACTAATGATGGCAACAAATTGCAACTGCACTTACAAGTTATGCATGTTGTAAAACAACATGTAGAATATGTGTGTTATTTACAAATTGCAGTAATGTATAAAACTACCAGTGCCAGTAAACGAACACAAATCTTAGACCGATACATTTCTTGGAAATTCAGTAACACAAAGCAGTTTGTTTTAAAAAACAAGGCTCTCGTGTACTACAGACCAGTTTCTAACTATACAGTACCTATTAGTTCAATCAGGGTTTTCACTTTAACATCCCTTTTCCAACCAACCGTCCTACCTAACCGATATCTAAGATATTAGATATAACCTGAATGTACCTCAGAAACTCTTTATAAGTTTACTTTTCCAATGCATTACCGTATGTTTCATAGCCTGGTTTCATTTTATGTTTATTTATATACTATTAAAATGCATGTTATTTGCAATTTAAAAGTAAATTTTTTTGTTTTATCTTATTCTAGAAGTGACTCCTTGAAAGGTTGATCCTGTCCTCTGTGAACTTGATCCTTTACTGAAGCGTATTTTTAAAGGTATTTTTATCCAACTCATTTTAGAGACCCTTTTTTAATGTATTACAGGACATTCAGGTAATCTTCTTAATAAATATTTTTGGAACGTCAAACTAATTAGGTTCTCTTTTTCTTGTTAGGTATATTAGACGCATTATGCACAAAGCATGACGTTATAGTGGTATCCACCATGGTTAGTAATACAGATTACTCACCAGATTAGGTGTTCATAGATTTTTATCAACTAACTTTTCTACAACCCCAAGCACATTCAGAAACAAACAATATATTTCAACTGAGCTCATTAAATTTACTACACTCTGTAAACTGAATCAAATAATAGTATATTTCATGACTATGGAGTTCAGTGACTTTTTGACGCGAGCTAAAGTTTAATGACCTATTTAAACTTTGGTTCGGTGGAGGCGAAGCTGAGGTCGGAAAATGAGCGAGGGTTGAAAAGACGTTTGGTCCGTGTATTTTTTGTCAAATTGCTCCATTATTTAAGCAAACTAAGTTACAAAACAAAAAAATACTTTTAGTTATCCCCCACTGACTTACAGCTTGTTTTTGTATTTTGTTACTGTGGACAAACAGCTATTTATTGATTGTGTCTGTGTTCATTATACTATTAAAAATATATCGATATGTCAAAAATTGATTTGTCGATAGTTTTCTTGAATTTTTTGGACTTTCAGTGCATTAAGCGTTCATCCATCTTCTTAAACTCAACTGTTAATAGTCAAAATTAACCTAAGCAAATTTGAATCCAGTTTGCAACAATGCAATAATGAACCACAACTGAAAACAATCGTTACAATACAACCCATACTTTTGATACAACGGATTGCTTAAAATCGAAGTTACTAGTGAGCAAAATGTACTTCTGAGTGCTGACATCATCGACCCCAGCTGATGATACTTTTACTCTCTAGGAAGTAAAAGAGATTTTTACTCCATAGAAAGAAATCGATTCTTTAGACCCACAACGCATGTATTTAAAGCAGCAGTTTTTGTTGAAGAATGACAAAAACGACAGTTTTACGAATGAATTTCACTAATGAAGGGATACTTCACCAGAATATTTGACGACTCACTATACTAAGATTTATGACTAGGAAGTAACAGCATGTGTAGCAATGAGTAACACAGATAAAAATAAGTTCTCAACAGAAGGTTCATCTGCAGGGTACTGACCTACTGTAGCAACCCAGGACCAGAATAGCAACTGCGGCCGAGGCTTAGCGGTAGAAGTAGGAAGTGATTGGTTACGCACAATCTACGTTTACTGCCTCAGCTGTATTTAATAATATATATTTATATTAGACTGTGTTTCGCAAGATGAGTCCTAAAAATAGTCCTTTAAAGCTTGTACTGTAGAAAACAGTGATTAACGCTAAAATATTCTATCCCTAATCAATGGTAGAGTAAAAAATGTGATTCACAAAAATACAGTTACCTGATTTGTTTTAATCAGCTGTTTGGCAATATAAAACGACTATTATTGATGAAAGTATCAAAAGGCAATATTGTAAACAACAATCAATGAATTGTTAATGTCAATCAATCAATCAATCAATCAATTATTTAAGATTGAGACACCACTATGTGGGAATTTTAACCCAAATATGAGTGAAGGATGAGTGTAGGATGAGTGGCGCGATCTTGTAGTCTTGTTAAACTAGAAAACTGTAATATTATGAGGATTCATAACACGTAGTTTTTTACGTGTGTCTATGCTAGTGGAAGTTTGTATAAAACACCACAAACATTAATTTTAAGTGAATGCGGTCCAAATGCCTTTAATTTTTGCGGATATACCGAACCCGTCATTTTGCACCAACGTTCGAGCGAGACCTAACCACTAGCAATGCTATGGAGAGTAATAGTTCTATTTTGAGTTTTAAACCCCTACTAACCCTTGACTATGTCAAAATGACAATTTGCCTGTTACCCTAATTGGTAAACTAGCTTTTATTGTGAAAGATTTCATCCAATTTTCTGATTTAAGATTTCAATTATTTTAGCATAGTGAAGAGACAAACAGACAATATTTGATCACAACTCTACTTGAAGTGTTTTATATGTGTAGCAAGATTTAATGTAGATAAAGTATATAAGAATTATCAGTATGAACAATGTAATTATGTTCAGTTATCAGAATCCTTTGTAACACCTTTGGCTTTGAAACTTGATGTTTTAGCGCTACTACTGTATAATTATTCTCTAGCTAGGTGACAATAATTCACCCTAAATCTTTGATGTTTTGATACAATATTTTCATACTTACATTTAATCATTTATTAGGAAGAGAAAATTCACACTTGTGAAAAAGAGGGCAACATTTGTATAGAGAATTTTTACCCAAATTATCTTTTCAGAAGCTTTAAGTAGTTTATATCAGTAATTTATATTTAGACAAATCACACTTGAAATAAATAAAACTAAATGTGTATAGAGAATTTATGTCAAATTAATTTTGGAAAAGAAAGTAGTTTATTAGTGTAGTTATTTAAAATGATGTCTAAATAGATTGCACCATGTATTTCAAACAAGATAAAAAGCTGTGTGCACCTTATCTGCTGTATCCTTATGCTGCGACGAGTGGAGGGTGGAGACGTCCTCTACACTGGCGGCGCTGGCGGGGGTGATGGTGCCGAGAGTCGGGGCTTCCTCCTCAGTGGATACGGAGTACATGGAGAACCGATGGGTGTACATCTGCGGGATGTGCAGGGCTGAGAAGACGTGTAGAGGCGCGAATGTGTGCATCCCTCGCTCGTCCAACACTGTGTACGGCACCTTCCCTGTCAGAACGGCTCTACACGCCTCCCGAGGAATGACACATTGGATACCGTGCTTTACGATCACTAAGATGCCGTGCTTCTTGTTCTTCAGCATAAAGTCCTCCATTGCGAGACTGTTATTGTTGGCTATCAGCGATATGGGAATGTCACCAGCTGATTGTATTTTTGTCTCTTCTGGGATAATCATCAACGCTCCGCTTTCTCTCACCAGTTCCCTGACTAGAGGGTCAGATCTGGCTTCGTCAGGGTCGGTTTTTAATTGAAGTAAAGCAGTTCCAAACTTAGGCCTTTTCTCTGCTAGGTGCCTCATGACAGTGAGTCTTCGAAGGATTTCAAATGTCACTCTATCATTTACGAGTAGCTCTGCTTTTCTAGGGTCAGCTAGAACACAAAGTAAAGTACTTGCTACTTCTCTCATTCCCATTGCTCGAGCTAGTCCGATTGCTTCTAAGAACATATTTTTCACGTTATCTCCTGTAGCGTTATTTAAAACGTTGTGTATGCTGATGTCGCTTGATTCTCTTACAACTTCAATTATTGCTTTTTGAAGTGACTCGGATGCGTCTTTTTCATTTTCTATTTTATCCAAGGTGTCTGTCATTCGTTGAACAATTTTACCTACAATTTCGGGACAACCTTTGGTGAAGTTTTTGAAACCTTCGAGAACAGAAGCTTCTCCGTCTTTCAAAATGTAGCTTAACTTATCAATTATTTCTTGCTCACTACTTACATTTCCAACAATAACGTCTTTTAAAACCTGCATTTTCTTTTTAGGTCGCATCAGCTCTAATTTGGGTGAATGAAGTACAAATTTATGTAGATTGTCTACTATAGGTATTATTTCATCCCTATCTTCTAACAAAAGAGCTTTTTCCAGGACAGCACACACATTTTTGTACAAAGCTAGCTCAGTATCTGCTTGTGCTGCAGCTTTCATCATGGCTTTCAATATTATTCCTTCTTTAGGGGTGTCTACAATTTCACTACCGTTAATGGGAATTGTACAATCAAAATCAGCAACAGCTGCTAAGATTTGGCTCAGCTTTATTGTAGTTACTGGGTCAATATTTCCAGGTAAACGATCTCTCAAGGAACAAGCGACTCCCATAGCAGGAACAGTTCTCACATCAACCTTCGGTACTTCTGCAGGGACTTGTTTCCCAACTGCCATACCGGCTTCTGATAGTTGCCTCATCATTCTTGAGTCTATGGACATCTCACTGGAAGTTGGAGCAAAAATGGAATTTGTGTTGATTTGAGGACGTAATAGACTTAACTCCTCAGGAGTAATTTCAAACCCTTGCACAGTAAACTGAACATCGCCTTGGGAATCATTCTCTAAATCAGGAGCAATGAATTTCAGACCTTCACTGGTTTCAACGACTTGCCCAGGTACAAACGATACCTTATCCCCTGTTTCAACCACTCTTCCTGGTACAAACCTAGGTCCTTCTATGGTTTCAACTACTTGACCTGGTACAAACCGTGATCCTCCATCATCAGTGGATATTACTTGGCCAGGGATAAATGTTGGGCCAGCTTTCGTTTCTACGATTTGGCCAGGAACAAACTTAGGACCTTCTGGAGTCTCCACTGTTTGTCCAGGCACAAACTTTGGTCCTGAACGTGTGTCAATGACTTGACCTGGCACAAACTTTGCCCCATCTTTTGTTTCTACAACTTGTCCAGGTACAAACTGTTCGCCATTTTCTGTTGTCACTACCTGCCCAGGAACGAATTTGTCATCAATCATCACTCCGGGTACAAACTTGACTTCTTTTCCTCTAACTAATCTTCCAGGAACAACTTTACCTGCTGGCAGCCCTGATGCAACTCCTGGGAAAAACTCTACTCCTTGCCTAGTCTGAACCATGTGCCCGTAAACTGTGTCTGACTTATCTGTAGTGTTAATGACAGCATTTTGAATAGAAATTCCAAGAGATGAACTATCTCTGGTGACAATATCACTCACATGACGAGCTGCTGCGAATTCAAACGTCCCTTCTTCTGAAACTTCAGTGACCCCAGGAATGAAGTGCATTTTACCACTTGATGATCTGAAAAGTTGTCCCTCTACAAACTGAGGTCCATCTGCAGTTTTTATTGCAGCACCTGGAACAAACTTTGTTCCTTCTTCTCCCTCTACTACAACTCCGGGAACAAATTGGTTGTCTCCAAATTTGGTTTTAACGGTTTGGCCAGGTATAAAAGTAGGGCCATCTTTAGAATTTACAACTTGTCCTGGGACAAACTTGACATCACCAGTTGAAGTAGTTACGCTTTGGCCAGGAACAAAATTCCAACCTTCTTCTGCAAGTTCACTTTGCCCAGGTACAAATGATATTTGCCCATACTGATCTGTGTGCATTTGACCTGGTACAAACTTGTGACCATCACAGTCCAATTCAGTGATTCCTGGGACAAACTGAGGTTCTTCATGACCTTCTGATCTAATAATCTGGCCAGGGACAAATTTCAACGAGTCTTCGGTCATTATGGTTTGACCTGGAACGAATTTAGGTCCATCTTTGGTTTCAACCTTTTGACCAGGAACAAAAGTTTCACCTTCCCTAGTATTAAGCACCTGACCAGCAACAAAAACAGGTTGTTTCATTCCACTTTCATCCTTTACATCAAATATCTGTCCAGGTAAGAGCTGTGGAACACCTTCTGGAGTTTTTATGGTTATTCCAGGAACAAATTGTTCTCCATTTGGAGTGTTAACTGTTTGTCCGGGAACAAACACAGGGCCATTTGGGGTTTCTACTGTAACTCCTACAATAAATTTTGAAGCAGTGTGTATATCAAGTTTCAATCCGCTAACTTGACACTGAGAGCTCCCTATCGTAGAGTGAGTCCCTTCCTTCAAATGTTCTAGCAGTTCTGGAATCTCCAATATTGTTGGTAACATGTTAAGGTTATGCTTATCCCTAGAAAATACCTGTTTAGCATCCGCAGTCTTTTCAAGTTCGGAACTATCTAGTTTTTTAATACAGTTTTGCAGCTCCAGATCTGGTTCCACAATTAAAGGTGATATAGGATTCACAGCCGATACAACTTCAAGTCCAGTTGTGCTGTCCAAAACTGCCGGTGCTTGAATTAATCCAGGTAAAGAAGTACTCAAGTCCACAACCTCCGGCTCCAAAACACACGGAGAAGGCATCTTATCGACGACAGGCCGACCTTTGTTTTGAAAGGTTTCATCAAAATTAGACCAGTTATTATTTTCAAACAGAGGACTCAACTCCTCCGAACTTGCTGTCACAACTATGTCCAGTGGCTCAGGCTTCACATCATTCCACTTTTGACGTTTAACGTCAGTCTTGGCTTTACTTACATCGTTTGCACTTTCTTTCTTCAGTACTTTCTGTTTCTTCTTATCCTTTTCTTCTTCTATTTCCGCTACACGCTCCTTTTCTTCAAATATCTTCCCAACAGTAGACATAACAGAATTTTCCTTCCTTTTCCTCTTTTTCCTTTGATTGACCACTTCCTCGCTGGGACCCTCTCCGTCGTATATGTCTAAGCCCTCGATAGATATATCCCTCACATCAATGGCTACATCTCCTCCTTTTCTCAGCTTCAATAGGAGAGTATCAGAGTCTTTAGCTAACATAACATTCCTTATATCACCATCCCTGACGGCAGCTTCCATTTTCGCAGAAAACACCAAGCTACATCTTCGTTCAGCAACTTTATAAATATAGTGTGCTTTACTTTCAATATTCTTACCGTCCAAAAGCTGAACAAGATCCGAAGAATCCTCACACACTGGGAACACATACCTATAGTCTGCCACTAGAACGTGGCTTTTAGTCTGAATCCCGTTCTCCTGACCAATAAGTGGAATAGGCGCTTGAGCCGCTTTTTTCTTTGGTTTTGTACTGACCAAAACTGGAATATAGTGGTGAGCAGGAAGACCGTAAGACTTTCCCGTAATCCTACAAAACCGCTTAGCATCAGCCGGAGAGATTGGAGGAAGCAGTGGGAAATAATTTGGCTTCGGCAGTCCCCGACTTCTGCCAGTGATTCTACAAAATGTAGACATTTTGAATCCAAATTAATCAGTTTGATAATCAAATTCTCAAACACTCACAAGACATGTTCATGGTCCGAAACACCTATGGAATACTGAGATGTGTCGGCTAATGTTATCACAATTCACGCACCGACGCACCACTCACTGTCACACACATGTCGCGGGCCGAGCACAGTGTTTGTCGTAGCGATGTGACCCGCGCGCTATCTATACGCCGACTGCCGTCACCGCCACAACCGCTCCACCGCGCTATCGCGACTATCGAACACCTCAATGTCGCCGCAGTGCCAAAGTCTATTTGCGTTCGCGCTGACATTCTGCTCGCCGCGCATCCAAGACGGATCATCGCGAAGTCCGATTGTTACGAGTATCGATTCATAATTATCGATTCCATGATAAACCTAACTATTTCAACCCGGTTAATAAATAGACTCGATAAAAATCGATTAGCGATAGTTTACCGGCCAGTTAGGAAACTGTGAACCTCGACCTGCGATTACATCAAAACACTTCCTTGTTGGGAAAGCTAAGAGGGTTGCCTTTGGCCCGACACCAGCTGGGCATCAAGTGCGCTTTTGAAACTGCGTGAGCTCACAAACTGACGAGTTTTGAAAGAGTTGACAGTTTTAGTATCATGACTCGTATGTTATACGAAATTGTACAATGATGAATGATAAGGCGAATTTGAATATCCTAAAGTCGGGAAGCAGTAAGCACTCACTGTTGAGAAACGTATTGAGCTACTTTGCAATTTGGAAGCATGACAAAACTCAATAAATCCTACTAAAACGTTGCTCTAAATCTGCATTATAAGACCTAAAGCGATAGATTATTTAACGCAAACACCTTCAACAATACAATAGTAACAAACTATAAGTATAAATGCATAACAAACAATAGTATAAATCGACCAAAAAATTGTTACAAAATAATCAACGTTTACGAAGGTTAAAAATGTTCGATGGTGAACACAAAATTATTGTTTTAGTTGGAAACCACGGCTTGAGCTAGTACTTTTGTTGGAATATGTTTATGTTCGACTTCAATATGTAGTTATAACTACCCGCAGGTAGTAATTTAACATTTTTCAGATATATTTTCACTTCACAAAGTTATATTTGGTTTAATATGTCTGTCTTATGAACAAGAGTTAAATAAAATTAATTGTTGTTTGAATACATGCAATGTTTGATCTTTTCACATCTTGCCCGTAAGTAAGACAAAACGATTCTATTTTAGATGTCTGTTTGTGTTTGGTTGTCTATCTGACGAGAGCTTACAATGCTAACCTCTCATTTGCTAGTTTTTTTGTCTAGCGAATTTCCTATATAGGGAATAATCTATTACCGTAGGTAGTAAGACCCAGGTGCGATTTCCTTTTTCGTTTTGAGGTCCTCAAAGGTCAGAAACACCCTCCGTTCAAATTAATACACGTATATGTGTGTTCGTTAGCGCGATAACTCAAGCAAAAATGATTCGATTTTGATGAAATTTGGTACAAACGTGTAAACGTGATGCCCTAGTACCATCTACGTTTATTACAACGAGTTCGCGAACCAGCATGATCGGAGTATGGAAGTAGGGGTTTACTGGGGGGGGGGGGGGGTAAAAAATGGTTTTCCCCATTTTTGACCCTAAAAAACAAAATTTAACAATTCCTTTTATAACAAGTTTGTAGAGCTAAAAAAATTGTTGTTGTATGCCTAACCATTACGGAGACGAGTAAAAAAATTGTAAATTTAAAATTCCCATGTTATTCTTATGGAGACTAAATAAACTGTTGTAGTTTGCTTGTTTAAGGATATATTTTATTATAACATGGAATTTTTTTTATTTCACACCAAGCTATCAACATTTTAATAATAATATCGCCTCAATATCTTCACTTTAGCAGCAAACCTAAGTACTCACTAAAATTAATGTTATTTAAATAGGAAATAAATCTGACAATTTTTTGGGAATATTTTATTGGAAATCCAGCCGGGTAAATGGAAATTCGCTTAGTCTGCAGGTTTGCTGTGGCGGGGGCTGCGGCGGGGGTATTTTATCATCTAAAATGTGTTCACTTTGTCTACCGGACATTTTTTATATTGCTAATTATCTTATACAATACATGTGTTTGTCCTGGTACAGTACTAACATATGGTTTAGACAGTCCCAATAATGTTTACTTTCGGGCCAGTATCCTAATAATTAGTTTATGTTTATGAATCACGCCTTTTGGCCGCTAAATTGTGTACAGATAGTCCGCCGCACCCTGTATAATGATCCATAATCAGTATTGATACTATGACTGTGTTCTTCAGTGCCTTATACAGTAGCACAACGGACAGCACAATTTGTTTGAGGCCGGTGGCATCAAACCGTATCGTTGCGGTAATGATGTTCCCTCAGCCAATCAGAAGCCTCAAAATAATACTGTAGGCAACACTAATCCTGAAATAAAAATTCAGCCAACGGACAAAGCTAGTCAATCCTGACCACTGGTCCGGAAATAGAAGAGATTGGTTTAAAATCCTACTGATTGTTTGATTCCCGGCGACGACGAGACTAGACAAAACGAATGTACAGAAACCCGGAGACGTTATTTAGTAAACAGCGAGAAAGAGAGGCCTATTTTCAACCACCAGCCCCGACCCATTGGCCTTTAGCGGGGAAGCCAACGCCAACCAACTTTACAGTGAAAAATGTTATAAAGAAGAGCAAAGACAAAAAAAAATCACATTTCAAAAACAAAAATACCCCGCCGCAGCAAACCTACACTAAACTGTCTCCTTAAGAATATCACATTTATTCCCTACTTAAATAGAGTTAGTTTAACGAGTACTTAGGTTTGCTGCATCAGGTAGGGTTAAACAGTGTTTTTGTTGTAAGATGTTAATATTGTAGTTCAGTAAGAAATTAATGTATTTTCCAAATTTGATCAAAATATGTTCATAAACAAGCAAACTACAACAGTTGACTTATTCTCCATAAAAATAACATGGGAATTTTAAATTTAAATTTTTTTGGAATTTTCTGCGTAACCATTATGCGCATAATAACGCTTCAATATACTTAATTATTTGTTTTCTTAAGCTCTACAAAATGGTCTGGAAAGAAATTGTGAGATTTTGTGTTTTTTAGGGGGAAAAAATAGGGGAAAGATTTTAACTCCATTCCCATAGTCCGACCATGCTGGTTCGTGAACTCCTTGAAATAAATGAAGGTTTACACGTTTGTACCAAATTTCATCAAAATCGGATCATTTTTGCTCGAGTTATCGTGCTAACGGAAAAACCGGTAATAGCTTATTCGCTAATATGCTTTAGGTTCCAACTTTGGTGGTAGAGACATACACAGTTGTAGCCATTTTGTTAAACGAAAATTAATGTTTGTCCTACGATTAATAAATGTTTATTACTACGAACATTCACATGTTCGTTCAACAAAATAAAACATAAAAATAAAACATTGGACTGAACTTCCAGGGACGATGACGTCGTCTTGTAATCCAGCTACTAGGAGGTCACGAATTGTGGATATATGCATGCACTGTGGATGTGATACTCCCTGGTGTGGATTAACGTCTGCATTAAGTGAGTACTACGACTATCCATGGTACTATCCTGATTAGACCAATTAGATAGTTACAAGGCAAAATTTTGGCTCGGATTCCACTATAAACCGTAGGTCCTTTAGTTGCGTTTGGCTGTATGGGCTGGGTGCGCTCTACCTCAGCTCGAAAATCTCAGCCAGGGATTCAGTAGCTATGTTGCGCCATTGAACAGCGCCGAGAAAAGCGCTTGCAGACGTTCACGGCAACAGCCTTTGTAAACTACCCATACATCACATGTTAGTAAAAAACAATGAGTGGGGGTTTACAGAACAATGAACAATCTATGCGACCCTGGTTTTAGAATTTTAAAGTAACAATTCTATTTTAAGTTAAAGAGGTTTAAAATTACCGTTTATCGTCTACATTCAAAGAAGATTTTCAGTTTGTATGGTACGACAGTAAACATATTGCAACCACCATATTTTAGATAATTTAATCCTCTGTAAAATGACACCCTAACTTTGATTCTACGTGAATTGCAGCCTTCGGAAACACTGTTGCCCCAGACCCTTACGTTTACACGAAACGGCAGGGGCAGAGCGCACGCTTGTGTCTAAGGAACTTTATACTTTATACTTAACTTTTCTTTGAAATGGTGACCATACAAAGTAGGTATTTTAAGCCAAGTATGAATGGAGATGAGTGTATGATGAGTGGCGCGATCTTGTAGTCTTGTTAGTGACTAAGGCCGACATATTCCTTAGACACAGCTGTTAATTAATAGCTCATACAGCTAATGGCAACTAAGGGACCTACAGTTTTATAGTGGAATCCGAACCACTTTTTTCCTTGGTTATACGAATTGGTCTAATTATCAGGATAGTACTGCGGATAGTCGTATTACTCACCCGTGCGGACGTTAATCCACACCAGGGAGTATCGCATCCACAGTGCATGCCTATAGATATCCACAATTCGTGACCTCCTAGTAGTTGGATTACTTACAGGACGACGCCACCCGTCCCAGTCATGTCGAAAGACTACAAGATCGCGCCACTCATCCTACATTCATCTCCATTCATACTTGGCTTGAAATACTTACATTCATACGGTTGCCATTTCAAAGTAAAGTATTAAAGTAAAGTTTATAAGTTGAGTCAAATGTTTTTAACACTGTCAATTTGAAGTATTATCTGCAACTTTGGAGTGCAGAAACAGTGTTGTAGGCCTAGACTATCCTATATATAACATCTGGCAAGAGATATGATGTACGCGTTGTCAAACGGAGCGAAACTGTGCCACTGCATTGCTTTTGTAATCTATCTGTGAATCTATTGCTACTGGTCATTTTTAGGGACCAATCTTAAAAATGTTTCTGCCCGTTGTATACATTTATTTGTATTACATTTCTGCCCTCTGGTATGGACCAAATGGGTAAATTACAAAACCAACCCTGAAATTAGAAGGGGCATTTAGTAAACCTCCACTCAAATGTGAAAAACTACAGAATAAAGTCAGAATCAAACACATTTAAACGCTTGAAACTTTCTAATAGGATGGGAAGTCACTTGCAACATCAAACGTCAATTTTCAACGTCATAGA